GGGGTTTAACTAATTAAGTACTCTCAGAATAACACACAAACCCTAAATCACACCTTTGGAAACCCATAGTTGATGAGTACAGTGATTAGCATTACAAAATGTCAGTAAAATCTTTCAAGGGTTGGTTTGGCCACTAATTACTCTGCAATTGAGCCGTGAACCACATATTCATAATCAGCAAGCTCAGGAGTACCCATACTGTGATTTTCAGCAAAATCTAATTTTTGGCCCAAAACCACAAAAATGTAAGTCTTACACCAGTGGTGTCAAACTCAATACCTTTCGAGGGCCAATTCTTATTTTAGTTACCCTCTTCAGGGCCAACACAAGTGCTATATCACATATTTGCAGGATTGAAGTTTACAGCTTCCCACATTGCCTTACCTGGCTTACCAGGAATACCTCATCTGGGTTTGTCTGATCTTAAGTATGTAAAATTCATTTTACTAAATAAACATGATTATATCTATTTCTTTCATAATTTCACGGATGTTAATTTTACCGTCATCCCGCGGGCCACACCTGACCATCCCAAGGGCCACATCTGGCCCACGGGCCATGAGTTTGACACCCCTGGTCTAAATGGTTGTACAATGGGAAAATTGGGGTTGGGTCTTGGGTGCCTGGAACCAATTAGAATTAATCCCATAGGTTCTGTACTTTCGTTATTGCATTTTTCGTTATCACGCACTCGGCGCAGTCCCAATTAGGAGTGATAACCAAGGGATGACTGTACTGTACAATAAAGGGTGAAATAGGAACTGAGTTTGTATGGGTAGAAATTGTGGAAAGGAAGAGAAAAACTAATTGTGGGAGTGATTTACAGGCTCCCAAGTCTTGGGAAAGAAGCAGCTCAGCCCATATGGCAGGAAATGAGTAGGGCAGCAAGATACAACAACCTGTGCATTATGGGGGATTTCTACTTCAGATATATTGACTGGGACAACATTAGTAGGTAACTAGGAATCCGAAGACTTCCTAGACGCAGTACAGGACAATTTTTTAAAACAACTAATTACAGAACCTAGTAGAGGTGACAATATATTAGACCTAGTATTAACAAATAAAGAAAATATTATCAGAGATATCACAATAGGGGAAGAACTAGGGAACAGTGATCACAGAGAAATCAGGTTTACCATAAATTGGGAAACGAAAAATAATGACAATATGGTCAGAGTCCCAGACTTTCGATCGGCGGATTATGAGGGGTTAAGAAGGTACCTAGGTGAGGTCGCCTGGGAACAGTCAGATCAGTCTCCAGTAGGAATGGGTGAGGTCACCGGCGACACAACATTCATGATGGCGATAATAAATTCACTAGTATACTACGTAAAGCACAGGAACAAAATATACCATGCAGAAAATTAGGTCAAATAAGAATGAGCCAAGGTGGATGACCAAAAACTTAAACATGACATAGGAATAAAGAAAGGAATTTATAAGAAATTAAAGGGAGGGGAGGAGCATCTCAGAAATAGGTATAATGAACTATCTTGGAATGTTAAGAAAAATGTAAGGAAAGCAAAGAGGGACTACGAAATCAGGATAGCAAGAGAATCCAAGGCGAATCCCAAGGGATTTTTCCAGGTATATAGGACAAACGTCAAGGACAAAGTGGGGCCTTTAAAGTCAGAGAGAGGGGAAGTGATCGATGATAGTGAGGAAATAAGCAAAGCATTAAACAGCTACTTCTTATCAGTTTTCAAGAAGAAATTCATGAGGAAATGCCAGAGGTGGAACTGATATTTAGGGAAATGAAAGAAACCAAAGGATATCAATTATCAGAAAAGAGGATACCTATGAAGATAAATAAATTAAAGAAGACAAAATCTCAGGGCCGGATGAAATCTTCCTTTGAGTTTTGAAAGAGTGTAAGGAACAGATTAGCGGACCCCTAATAAATTTATATTACAAAATCATTAGACACGGAGTTGTGCCAGACTTGTGGAAACAGGCAAATGTAGTACCCATATTCAAAAAGGGAGACAGAGCATCAGCATCAAATTACCGGGATCAGTTTGACGTCAGTAGTGGGGAAATTTCTTGAATCAATTATAGCAAATAGCATCCGATCGCATTTAGAGAAAACAAATTAATCTATGACTCTCAACATGGATTTACTAGGGGAAAATCTTGTCTAACAAATCTGCTGACTTTTTTTATGAAAGTCTATGAGGTAGTAGATAATGACAAAAATTACGACGTTATTTACTTAGACTTTAGCAAAGCATTTGACAGAGTACCGCATCAGAGGCTTCTGAGAAAAGTTAAAGCTCATGGTATCGAGGGGAAAGTTTTAAATTGGATAAAATCATGGCTCACCGATACAACACAGAGGGTCACCGTAAATGGTTTTAAATCTGAGTGGAGCTGTGTAACTAGTGGGGTTCCCCAGGGGTCAGTACTGGGCCCACTCTTGTTCATAATCCACATAAACGATCTAGATACTGGGATCAGCAGTGACATAAGCAAGTTTGCGGATGACACCAAAATAGGCGGCAGATTAATTCAGGGCAGGATGCAAATGCACTACAGGAGGATTTAAATAAACAGCAGGAGTGGTCAGAAAAATGGCAAATGAAATTCAACATCAGCAAGTGCAGTGTACTGTACTTAATATTGGAAGAACAAATACCTGTACTGTCAATATATACAGCCTTAACAACATCAACCTAGAGAAGTCGACTTGTGAAAGAGACTTAGGGGTACTCTAAGCTTGGTCTTTCGGCCTAGAAAACAGTGCATTAATGTTCGAAATAAGGCAAACAGAGTATTGGGTTTTATATCTAAAAGTGTAAGTAATAAGAGTGCGGAGGTCATATTGCGATTATATCTAGCGCTAGTCAGGCCGCACCTCGATTATGCTATTCAGTTCTGGTGCCCTTATTATAGAATGGATATCAATTCACTTGAGTCTGTGCAGCGAAGAATGACGAAAATGATTCCGGGACTTAGAAACCTTCCCTATCAAGATAGATTAAAGAAACTAAACTTGCATTCCCTAGAAAGACGAAGAGTGCAGGGAGATATGATATAAGTATTTAAGTGGGTGAAAGGAATCGATAAAGGAGATATAGATAAAGTTCTTATAATATCCGTGCAGGATAGGGCTTGTAGCAACGAATTTAAGTTGGATAAGTTTAAGTTTAGGAGGGAGGTAGGAAGAAACTGGTTCACAAAAAAGGGTGGTAGATGAGTGGAACAAGCTTAACAACTTTATAGTAAGTGCTGGGACGCTGTAAGTTTTAAAAGGTTAGATAGATTCATGGACGATAGAGTGGTTATAACTCTCGACAGGAGCTCCCATTCACAGGCCAACCGACCTATTGCAGACTTCTTATTTTCTTATGTTCTTATTTGTGACAAAGCCATTCGTGATTGTTACAGTGGATTGTGGTCCTGATGAAAACCCTGGGTATGAAAAAATCATCAAGTGTGCTGTTGATTACTTTTGCACATATGATCTAGATGCTCTCTTCAATGCAACAAATGCACTAGGTTGAAGTGCATTTAACTGAGTTGAATGACGTATGGCCCTACTTAGCCCTGATCTAGCTGGAGTCATCTTACCTCAGGATCATTTTGGAAGCCATCTTAATTCTAATGGAGAAACTGTGGATGAAGAATTGGAAGAGCAAAATTTTGCCCATGCAGGGAAAATTCTTGCTGACATATATGGTCAGCTACTGTTATTGATGGCTACCCAACAGTTGCTGAAAATATTGATCCACAGGAAGGAAATGAATCAGAAATCTTTGAAAAAGTCCTTCCTGGTACCAAAACATGTGCAAGAGTGTCAGTATTTTCTGCAGGTCATCAAATACCAAAATACAACTTGCTGTAATGCACCAAGAAGTTCTTAATTTTCAGTTATTGCCATCGCCACTTCCCCTTATTATGTTGTCTTGATGATTTGAGTGCCAAATATCCACTGCTCTTTGTCAGTCTAGTACTGGACAAATCTGTGCTACCAGCTCGGGCAGTTAAAAACTTTCCAAAAGGCCTACCATATGATTTGGTATGTCGTAGTCTGAAGAAGGAGCTACAGAAGTGCATCTATGGAACATTTGGCAAATACTTTGCCTCAGTCAAGTCCATGACTTCATATATTAAGAAACACTGCTCGAGTCGCAGTAGCCATTCTGTTGTGAGTACTCCAACAGAAAGGCTGCGACCTCAAAGACTAGTTGCCAAGAGACAAAGGGAATTCATGTGTGTTGTCAAGTACCTGGAAAAAGAAGAGTATGAGTGGCACATGGAGGAAGAATTGAATACTGAGGGACTTGAAATGCCAACTGAGATCAGGGCTAACAAAGGAACACCAATCATGACTGTACAAAGTAGAGAACCAGTGTGGCAGGAAGACTGTTAGATCTGGGACAACGCACATGAACCACCCCTCGACACTTAAATATTTACACTGAGAACTGAGTATTCAGAAATATATTGTTTTTTTGACATGCAAACAATATATCAGGAATTTATTACATAAAATATATTTGCTTTCATTCTTAAAGTTGCATTACTTGGTTTCACCTTTATTTGAAAAGAATAGAATATGCGTGCATTTTACAAGGTATAGAAAGACCTTAGTACTACTGTACATATATTTTCTTTGTAATTCTTAATACACTTTTAGTATTAAAGACTTTCAAAGATTACATCTGTGTTATTTAGGCTTTATTTTATTTTTTACTGTGACTTCTTCTGACACCCCCACCCCTCTGTAACACCTGACTTGATACCCCCCCACCCCCTCTGCATTATATAATTTTTGAATGGCCCCATTGCTGCAGGGAGATGAAGTTCCAGATACTTTACAGCACTTCTCAAACTCCCTCTGTGTCTCCACACAGCCTAAACAGGTATGTAATTTTGTTTGATACAGTTATAGTATACTCCTGGGACTCTTCAACTTTAACTTATTGAAATTGTTGGATTTTTTTCTTCATAAAACAAGGACAATACAGTATGGGGATAAAGAAGAAAACATTTAATCAAGAATGTTGTTTATCTTTTATTACAGAATGTTATACAGACTGGTATGCATGTAATTTACCATATAAATGGACATTTTTCCCTCAAAATCTTAACTCCATGCTTGTTCCACTCTGACTGCTGTATCCATAGTTCATTACTTCCTTCTAGACAGGTCATCAGTGCTGCCCCCTTCCAAGCTGTCATACATGGGTCCATATCCTTGGCACGTGTGATGATCTCTATTTGTTCTGAGGAATTTTTTTTTATTTGAAATTCTTAAAATTTTTCGATATGATAAAGTTTTGGTATTACATTCTCATTAAATTAACTTGGTGTGTCAGAGTATAGAGACTCGTTATCATATAAGTGGTTCCCTACACTATTTTAATTGATACGTGTACATTAGCACTCCTGTACAGTATTTCACATTACTGGACACTTAAATCCAGAATGTTGTAACACTAGACTAGGGATGCCCTGACTTCCTGGGGGGGACATACACATACACATGCAGTATACAGCCATGACCTCCTGGGGGACACACACACACATGCCCTACAGCCCTTGACCTCATGGGGAACACCAACATGCCCTACAGCCTTGACTTCCTGGGGAGACACATACACGCCGTACAGCCATGACCTCCTGGGGGACACACACACACATGCCCTACAGCCCTAACCTCCTGGGGGACATACACACACACACACACACATGCCCTACAGCCCTAACCTCCTGATGGCCATACACAGGCCATACAGCCGTCCTCCTGCGACACTCACACACACACACACACATGCCCCTACAGCCCAGACCTTCTGGGGACACACACAATCATGCATTACAGCCCCGACATCCTGGGGACACACACAAACATGCCTTACAGCCCTGACCTCCTGGGTGGACACACATACCATGCCCTACAGCCTGACCTCTGGGGAGCACAAACATACCCTACAGCCCTGACCTCCTGGGGGACACATACACACACATCTCCCTACAGCCCTTAACCTCCTGGGGAACACACACACATACCCGACAGCCCTGACCTCCTGGGGAACACAAACATGCCCTACAGCCCTGACCTCCTGGGGGACACACACACATGCCCTACAGCCCTGACCTCCTGGGGGACACACACACATGCCCTACAGCCCTGATCTCCTGGGGGACACACAGACGCCCAACAGCCCTGAGCTCCTGGGGGGGACACACAAACATGCTTTACAGCCCTGACCTCCTGGGGGACACACACACACATGCCCTACAGCTCTGACCTCTTGGAGGACACAAACATGCCCTAATGAGTTGCCTATACTGTACAACTATGAAATATGGCCCAAAGAATAAATTGTGATAGTCAAAAAGAGTAAAATAATTATAGAAACTTAATTATATTGAAAAATGCTTAGCTGTTCCCCCACCAGTGGCAGTGAGGGAGAGTGGATCAAGTGGATAGGGTGGAGGGGCATATAAAATTTCTTCTAATAGTGGCATTGTATAATGTCATTGATCTTTGGTCAATAAAATACTAAAGAATCGAAAAATGGAATGCAAAACAAGCAATACTCAGCTAATGAGAAATGAGGCGTTCCGCATCAGAAGGGGGTGAAGCGCCAAATTAAAAAAGCTGAGAAAAACGCGTTTAAAGTTTTTGAAGTTCAAACAACTAGAGGGTTCATTTTTTTTATCGTGCAGCTCAATCCCCCTCCTAACGATCTGGGAAAACTGAAAGTTAGTGCTGTGAATAGTTATTATTTTATCACGAGTTGAATGATAATAACTACCCGTGATGTACAGTTGTTTGATCTTCAAACCAACAATAATTGCGTTTTTCGGCAAAATTTTCTTATTATTGTGGGCTAATACTGTAAAACAAGTTAATGATCACCAAAAAACAGCACTATTCTTACCCCCCCATAAATGAAATAATAAAAAACTCATTTGCCTATCAGTATTTATCTTTCTGTCCCTGTTATTAGCCAAAAATTTATAATATTGTTAAGTATAATATTGTGTAATAATAAGGAAACACCACTACACTCATCCCCCCCACCATTAACCTCCCCCCTCAATGTAATTAACATAAGAATACAAAAGCGGAGAAAGTTTGCATAATCTTGGGTAAAAACAGTATTATGACAATAATATTACAATCTTACTTTGTTTAGTTCCTTCATTTTATTATCCCTGAAGATCATAGCAACTTGAAGTTACGTAAATCCTGAGGAGTGCGTATAACTTTAATGGCCTCGTCATAATCAATCATGTACTGATCAAAGTCTTTCTCTGCCCTCTCTAAAAATTGTCACACAGATTTTTCATCAACTAAATCATTGATTATTGATGCCAGCAACAGTTCAGTTTCATCATAAGACTGAGGTATTGGCTCACTTTCACTAGCATTCGTTGGGTCAGGCTCACTTTCATCACTATCAAGGTCAATGCATGTCTCGTCACTGTCCACTTCTACCTCCTCACAGTCTGTATGTTCTTGTTGTGATGCTGACCTGCCTTACCTTGACGACTTTATTGGTGTTGTAACTTACAAACTCCTCACCCAAATTCAGTTTACGCTTGGCAACCTCCTTTGCCCACTCGTCAACCCGACGCTCTCTCATCCTGCCTTTTTTTCTATAGGCCCTTGGGGGGTACGCTCCCGACCCCTGCAATCTGCATTACGTGGTGCTCCACCACCATCACTACCACCAACACTAGGCTCCCCAACATCACCAAGTAGCCCATCACCATCATTCTTATGCACATCACCTGCACCATCGCCAGTAGCACTTGTATCAACATAATCAACACTAAATTCACCACCAAAATCACTATCGTCAAGCATTACTGGGGTGTCCATGTGAGCACTGGCGTCAAACAAACGCTCAGGAATAATGGGCTCCTGAACCCACACCAAAAGGCCTGGCCTCACTCGAGTCTTGCTTTAATATCGGGCAGATATTGCACAGCACTTCTCACACCCGTGGAACACGAATAACGTCAATGTTACACCGAAAAGTTATCAAAAATAGCAGTAGAATGTTCCCTGAACATCCTGATGCTAAAATATGCGCCAAAACTAAGGAGGAGGCAGCATCTGGGCACGCAGATTGGCCAAAGAGCTGTGATGTAGCAAGGGGAAATCCATTGTGATTGGCTGCCTCGGGGGGTATGGTCCGAGGGAGGCACGCTGTCATTGGCTTGCGCTCCTCTCGCTCTGAACAGGATGTTGCTACTTTCTTGCACTGAGTGCACAGCCAGATACGTAGCAGCAGGCCTGAGGCGAAATCACACCTTATTTTTGAAGCAATTTCTACCATAGTTCTATTCTAGCTAGAGGGTTACATCCAATGCCAACATGTAGAGGAAAAGTGAAAATAGTGATACCCATAAAAAAGTGCATTTTGGCCGGGGTGTCGCTTCACCCACTTCTGATGTGGAGTGCCTCAAATAGAGTATATGAGGCCCCCCGCATCGTAAGGGTTACTCGTGCCAAAAATTGAAACCGAGAAAACCGCATTTTAAGTTTTCCAACTTCTAACAAGTATAACTTTGTTGTTTTTTGAGATACAGCATTAATTTTTATGCATTTTGAAGCTAAAGGACTGTACTTGCAGATGGTAGGTAGAGTGTCATGAACTAATGTACTGGGTTGTTGCAATGTTAACTTGAAGCAGCAAAACTCCCACCCGCTTATGGTTTTTTTACTTTAATCGATATCAGAGTATAGATCCCACCACAACAAAAGAGAAGTGAGGAAGAGGGAGAGAGGGATTCCGCGCTCATTGGCTGGAGGGGCCGTGACATAGATAGTAGATGCTCACTGTGATTGGCCAGGCGGAGGAGGAGGCTGCGGGCTGGCCACTGTGATTGGCCACCCGTTCCTCTCACTCTCTCATTGATGGGACGAGAGCACCTGATGATGCAAAAGCCAAGCCCATAGTTTCCTGTCTGCCACAAATCGATGTTACTCCCTATTTTCAAAGGGCCTTCAACCTTATTTACAGTCTAGTAAGGAGATCTTATCCACTAGACCGAAAATAGTGGTTTCCAACAAAAAACAGGTTTTGCCTGGGTGGTCTGAGTTACCCTTACGATGCAGAGGGCCTCATATGATGTAATGCATGAACATGTAGAGTGCGGCCACTATACTCAGTATAATAAATAATAAAATAAATAAATATTGAAGTGATAACCGTGGTAACATTATGAGATGTACTTATTACCACCATGCTATTGTACTATACCAGATGATACTAAATGTTCCATAATACTTCCTGAGTACTGCCTGAGAATCCGGAAAATCCGAAAATCCGGACCGACCCAATCCCCAAGCAGTCCGGACTTTTGGACTTCTACTGTATATACTGTAACTGTACATTACAACTTTAGAGAATTAAAATTTTGGAGAATTAACCAGATCTACACAGAAAAAATTCTGAAATAAAACAAGAATACAACCACACATAATTAGTACATAAATATGCACACTTATTATTACCTGGACGATATGCAACAGGAATCTGTAATGCCAGTCTGCTTTGTAGCCATTTCCCAATACTCTTAAATTTTGCTCCTCCTCCAACAATCAAAATACTGCTGTACATTTTTCTCTTCATTTCGTCACTTTCTGCAAATGGAATTAAAGTTTATTAACAAAATAAATTAGTTTACTCTTGAAGGCATAATTTTTTTTTATTCAATGAGCACTACATTGAAAATTGACTTTTTTCCTTGGAGTAAAGTACTCTGATAAGTTTTGCATTCTCTCATATTAAATCTGTTCAATATGGTTCTTAACAATGATTTAAGTAGAAGGGTAAATTATTTCAGACGAGAAAACGCAAAATTTGAGGATGCAATTATCAATCTTAAAACCATTGTTGGACAAGGGGGTTAAAAAATTTTGTCGCTAAATTGAATAATCATTAAACGAGGGATACTTGTATATACATTCTGTAGTTGGTACTTTAGGTGAGGGGGTGACCCAGCTGATTCCTGGGTTGCATCTGATGAGCACAATTTGAATTTTCATTGAGACCATCTTTCAGATACGTATGAGATTTTTTATTTATTTATTATTTACCTAATGAGAAAAGCCAGCCTGAAAACATTTTAAATCAACTGCTGTACTAATACTGTACACTTCCCAGCTGCAGTCACAGCATCATTCAGTATGGTCACAAGCTACAACACACTGGGTATATGTTTGGGATGTAAATTTTTCTTAAAATACCGGTAATATTAAAAAAAAACTTATTCCTTCATATTTTTAGGGTCTTTTTCAGGAGGTATAAAAGCATTTATCTATTATAGACAAATTTCCTAGTTAGTTTGCACACCTGTCATTCAGTTTTATTGCCAAATTTGTGGGAAACTGGGTTAGTTGGAGGCAGCAGACTGAGATGTTTTTGTTTTTGCAATTTTCCTTTTTTCCAGTTCTCTTTATTTTTCCATGGTGTACCAGAACACTGTACAGTATAGTCTCGATTTACAAGGATTTGGTTTACGCGTTTGGTCATTTACGCAGCACCTTGTCAGACCGACAATTTTTATTTACACAGTTCATTCCATCATTCACGTGGGAAGCGGCATGGGCAGGGTGCGCACAAGGTCACCCAGTCAACAAAACATTACCGAGTTCTTCACCCGCCACCCACCACAGCCGGCCCAAGTCAGTGATAGTGAGGATATGGACCTTGAGGGGTTTGACAAAGAGGCCATGCAAGCCTCTGTGGTGGATAGTGATACAATTGATACAAGTGATACAGGTGAGGGCCAATAATCTGCCCTCTGCCTCGGAACCAACCCCCCATCCCCGTGTGCCCAGCCATCTTTTCTACTAACGTAAGTGTTAAAAATCCTAATATTATTGATATTTCTCTTAAATATTAATTGTGTGTGCATACCATCATAAAATTAAGATGTTATTTTTACTACAACGTACGTATTGTGTCGGAAAAAGTGTAGTTTTGGGGTAAGCCCAGTCTCTATTTCAATTAACCCCATATGTTCTGTTATTTCGTTTACGCGTACCTCCACGGGTTCAATTGACCGCATAAATGAAGACCATACTGTACATTTCTTGCTTGTGTTAGTTCCTTTAAAGTATTGTATGGTGAAATTTTGGGGCATCTGGTCCCTAATCCCTCATTTTGTACTGAATTACATCATCAAATTTTTATACAAGTACCTGTACCTGTATTGCAAATATTTACTTCACAAATGTTCTCAGTCCCTATCTCACAAAATAATCAGAGGCTACTATATACAGTATATTTTCCATTATCTTAATACCTGGCGAGTTTGTATTGAAAATGCTAATTTAAATAATATATTGCTACTGTAATATATTTTAATCAATAAATTATACTTGACTGATTAATAATGTTCACCTTATGTATAAGCTCCAATGTGCCAGAACATATGTGTTTAAGATGGAACAGAACACAATGGTTACCAATAGTGTACAGTATAGATTTATTTTTAAATGAGGAATGCACTGCTATTTTTTCCATTTAAATAATTTTTGTTTTATGTATTTTCTATTCAAGCAGCTACTCCAGAAGTAAACATCGGAAGCCACAAAGGAAATATGAGAGCATGTCCACTATAGACAAGCTGAAAGTCCTGGACAGGCTTGATGTCAATTGGTCCTGCTTTTTTTTACTGTTCAAATTACCCCACTGAGTTGCTCATAAAAGCCCACCATTTTGATAAAATATCGAAGTTTGCTGTCAAAATTCAGACACTTTGGATAATTCAAACCCTTTGGGTTGTTGAATTGGAAAGGTTCAATGTATCTGTAAAGTAGAGGTACTTTTTTCACCAGACATGAGCTGACCTGTAGTTGAGAAATTTCTATGGACCAGGCACTGGTCAGGTCCAGAGGATCCCAGAAGAAATGGGTTTACTTTGTACTTAGAACAGCAGTAATCACCACCAACTACCCTTAAACTGTTACAGTATGGAGCAGACACTTAGTTTGATAGCAGTAAGGAATAATTTTGAGATAAGAGTTGTCTGTGTACTGGTTACCTGGAAACTAAATGTGAATGTTGGGCTAGTCCTGAAATTTGACAAGATGGCAGCCCAAAGCTGGTTATAGGTGTGTACCAATTAGATGAGGGCAACCTTTACATCTAATCTCCTCTTTATATTAAGAGGTTGATGAATGTGATGGAGAAGGATGGGTTATAATAGGATCAGCCCCCAGCTGCCTTTTGGGGAAAGGCATGATGGATAAAACTTCCCATTCTGGGCATATGCAGTACAGTAATGAGAAATGCTCTGCAGAGGGCACCTAACCAGAAAAATTGTGGTGTATGAGGATACACAGCTAATGTCAATACTGTACTCTCAGATTAGAACTGCACAAAATGTTGGGATTTCTGTCTAAGTTAATGTTACGCATCAATCACTTAAATGTCCTAACAGCTACACAACTTACGGCATCTGTCTATACTGGTTAGTATAGCTTGCTCAAGGGAAAACAGCTTCTCTGTCCCAGAAAATGCTGATGAATCATTGCGTACAGATGTAGAAGGAGCCACCTGTGCTGGGGGTAATGGTTGATCATCCACAACAATGTCTTCCTCTCCTGCATCGCCTCCCTCACCTCCTCCAACCTCCATTGCTTCTGCTGCTTCTCGGCCACCTCGTCTCTAGAAATGTTAAGGTATACCATTTCAATGAGAGGCGACTATGATGAATGAAATTTTATGAACTGGTGATATACATTGATATTTATAGCAATGAAGCTATGCAATTTTTGGTATTTTCAAGAATACAGTAGTCTGCTGGAAAATAAAAAGTTATTACCCTGTACAAGAGTATGCTAACTATGTTTTGTGCCTTGTTAGAATGGCTGCTGCATATCTTCAATCACTAGTCACTGAACGGGTTAATTTTGTCCTAAAATTAATTAATTATTTTTAGTGGTAAGACAAAAACAAAAATTAATGCTGTTTAACCCCTATGCCCCAGTTGACGTTCCGGAACGTCCATCTAGGGCGCGGGTTATCAGGTTTCAGTGTGACTATTTGCATGTCACGACACACGCTCGGCCACAGGGAAGCTTCCTGAATGTAAGTATACCTACTTTTGTTTGTTTCATTTTCATTGTTTGTCCATTTTATCATGTTGTATCAAAGTAATACTGCTAAAAGCAGTGTCATTGTACAGTAAAGCCTCCGATAACGACGGTTCAACTAACGAAGATTCATATCTAAGACCATGGTTAATTTAGGACCCAATTCAATTTACACCATTATTTTCTTCGTATTTACGACAAAATATATTACATTTTCGTATAAATAATAACTAAATCCCGATATTAAAAAGAAAACAAGCCTTGCGCACGGAGGCTGCCGTGCTTGTTAGTGGTGACGACAGCATCACTAGTATAAACAATCACAGCTGGCGGGCACTTTGTTTTCACGCATCTGAACAGGAAAAGGAGAAAAAAGTTCTCAGGTTTCTTATAGCATTTTTGCATCCCTATTCAACACGAGCAAGAGAGCAAGTGATGGTAGTGTTGTTTCAAAAGCTAATAGAAAGTGTATAAGCTAAGCCAAGAAACTAGATGTATTAAAACGATATGAAAAAGGTGAGAGGTCTGTGGATATTATATGGAGCAGGCAATGAACATATTTTCTGAAATGGATCCATTAACAGAACAAAGCATTATAATTTAAATAAATCCAGGTGTGCAAGGTTCTTTCGACAGCTTTATTATTCGAAGGCCTAAGCCATCAGCTTCAGCTACACCATCAAATTCAGCATCATAAGCAGCTTCAACAACAACTTCAGGTTCAGTAACAGTTTCAGCAACAGCTTTATGGAAAGCTACAGCTTCAGCCAGAGTTGAACCTGATGACTTCGTCATCTGAGTAAAAACTCGCATAACATGATTGGCTGTCCTTATGTTTTATACTTTACCACTATTGGTGAGTAAAATTTTTGTTTTACATTCGTAAGTATTATTTAAAACATATATGAACAGTAAATAAGTGTTGCTTTCATGTTCATATGTAGAGAAATGATGATATGTTTTCACATGTACGCACTTACTGTACAGACGTTGGTGTTTCCAACCGTTGCCATTAGTGGTTAGCTACTTCTAGTGTTCCATTTATTAACATTATATAACATTACTTAAAACATACATACAGGTATTCAATTTTCTTACATTAAGTTCACTACAGCTACAACCAGGGTCTTATTTTCTTCAGTTTCTTATGTAGAACCGTCACTCACGAAAACAATGCTGTCTTGTCTCTTGTGTGTTTTAATATTCTGTGTATTATTAATGAATTGCATTGTTCATTTCATATATATAAACATTAATTCAATCAAATACATATTCAGTAATAAACAATAATGAATCTTTTGTACATATTCCTAAGATAAATGACTATGTTTCCTTGAGTGCGCACGTACTGTATACATTGGCGTTCCACTATGTCTCACTTTTTTTCTTTAATATCAGTGGTTACTTCTACTGTACATTAAATAACATTCATTAAAACATACATATTTTTTACATTAATTTTACTACAACAACAACCAGGGTCTTATTTTCTTCAGTTTCAGGTGAATAACTGACATTATGGGTGTAAACACTGACAACAATGCCGTCTCTTATCCTCTTGTGTGTTTTAATATTCTACGTATTATTCATGAATTGTATTGTTCATTTCGCATATACAAAGATTAATTCAATCAAATACATATTCAGTAATAAACAATAATAAACCTTTTGTACATATTCTTAAAAAGATAAATGATGCGGTATCCTTAAATACGCACGTATATGTTGGTGTTCCCAATCCATCTAATTTTTTTTTCTTTGCCATTAGTGGTTAGCTACTTCTAGTGTTCCATTTATTAACATTAAATAACATTACTTAAAACATACAGGATATATATTCATTTTTTACATTAATTTTACTACAGCTACAACCAGGGTCTTATTTTCTTAATTTTCTCGTGTAAAACTATCGTCCAGGACCCCCGGCTGTAAACACTAACAAAAACAATGGTGTCCCATCTCTTGTGTGACCATATTATTATTCATTTATATTGTATGCATTCAGAAACATTATTTAAAGAATATAGTTTGCAATTTTCATTAATTGTATTGTTTTGGGGGGGGAAAGAGGGTAAAAAGCCACACAAAAGATATGAAAAGGTCACACTTGAGAATGCATCTCATTATTATTGCTTTATTTTAATGGTAATTAATGATTCGCAATACAATGATTCACTTTACACTGCAATATTGGAGGACACATTACCGTCGTTATTCGAGGCTTTACTGTATGTAGTGTAGTATTACTGGAAAATAATGCTATGATTATGTTATAAATGTATTTACTTGTGGAATTACTGTATTATTTATATGCATTACTTGCTCTACCAATCACAAAGACAGCCGGCAACAGGCTGCGTGTGTTGCTGAGCAATTTTTATGAAAAATAATGCAAATAAATATAAATTAATTAATTATAGGAAACAAGTATTATGATCAGTAAACATATGCATTACTGGCCATCCCGGACACAAAGGCAAGCAAAAAAATGGCCGCGAAGTGCACAGTGACCACGAGTGCTCGCCGTCAAAACAACACTGTCCCCTTATCTCCCTCACCACTGCAGCCCCAGGAAAGTTTCTAGAGGGTCAATATATAGTTTTTCTTACTTATTTTTTATTGTTTTAATATTTAAAAGGGTTAAAAATTATTTTAGGAAAAGTTGATTTTTCTCGATTACCCCGTGTGGGGGATACGGCCAGCGGCACCCTTGCCCGGGGCGTAGGGGGTTAACGTTCATTCACATAGAGGTATTTTGGTTTAACGACATAAAATTTTAACACCTTTCTTTTTTAACGATTGGTCAAAATTCAGTTTAGCGATGTTCGACTCACTGGAAAAACTTGGGAGGTAAGTCGGAAAACTGGGGATCCACAATGGAAACATGGACAAGATAAATCTTGATAAAACCACACAGGAAAAGGGAAACTCTGGAGATGTCTTGAATAAAGAAGAAAGCTAAGGTGCTCCAGTGTTTCCCTGCCTACTATGTCTTGAATTTGAGCGACTGTTACTTACACTGCCGATGCACAGCGGGATCTACTGGACAGTTATTTGTAACGTGTATTAGTACAGCTGAGTACATTATTTTTCACCCTTGTATATGTGTTTTGTGTTAATTTTGTTTTAAAAATATTATATAAAAATCACTTGCATATTTTTCACGACCTACTACTATTTATACTGTGTTGGGTGTTGTCATGTTAACCATGAGTTTGGTGCCAAATATTCAATTAAGGCAAGTAATGCTATAATAACTAAACATACAGTGAAATTTAATAACTAGAAAAGTTCAAAATTAGAAATCATTTCAATTTTTATTCTAAATAAAAGTTAAAGTAAAGGAACTTAAGACATTTGCCTTGTTAGTTGCTCAGTTACCGTAACAAAATATATATAAAGAGCATGGGTGTATACGTGTGTGAAGTGAATTTATGTATTAAGGCAGTGAGCTGTAAGTGCAGTTAGCTGCACTCTCCCTCCCACATATGTGACGTCACTACATACAGGCAGTAGCCACACATGTCTCTTGAGTCAGCTTGGTGACTGTCTGGCTGAACTGTGTTGCATGTACAGTACTGTATAATATAATGGAGTACTGTATCTACATTAGCTTATCAAAACTTACTATGGGACGCACATCTAAGGGCTTACCTTTGATGCCGAATACCCTTGCGCCGGCCCTGCTAAAGAGTTGACTTTAAGGATACCGACTTGGAAAATTGTATTTATCATCTGATTTTCATGAAATTTATATGTTATGTATACCTATAGAGCACTGATAAATCCAAGTTTCAAACATTTTTATTGGGTATTTTTTTTTATAAAAAAATCTTAATTTCAATTTTATATTTCTTGGCCATCCCATGAAGAATTTTCTTGAAAATTATTTATGTGATAGTTATCAACATAATTAACGAATTGTTGGAATCCCTTTTTTTTATTTTTTGATATTTAGTGAATAATTTTTTTTTTTTTTCGTTTTATAATATAGTCAACCTCTCCTAGTCTATTTTTTTTAATAAAAAAAAAGTTCGATCATCAAATTCTTATTTCTTTGCCCTTTCAAATGAGACCTTATTTTTTAAAAATCGACCCATTATTAGTGGAGAAATATCTGAAAATGCTATAAATAACCAATTTTGAGTAAGTGCGCTGGACCGGGGGCTGCAGCGAGCAATGAATCGTAAGTCTGACCGCTTCGACAGTCGAGAGCGCACCGACTTCCCCAGCTAGCCCAGCACCTCCTCTGTCCTCCCTCCCTCTCTTTACATCACAGTAGCTTAACAGAAAGATGCCAGATAGCACCAGAGAAAACAGAAGTAAGTTCTCTTTTCTAGTTTATTTTCTATGAATGTTTAACTAGAGGTTGTCGATACGGGTCAGAATGACCTTGAGCACGCATGTGAGAGTGGGGGAGGGGCATTTAACTGTCCATTTAATTGCCAAATCTACATAAATAACTTGGATATTGTGGAAATGGCTACTGGAAGAGTGCACAAAGCTCTGAGATTTTTTTCAATTTTTCGATTTTAAATGTTTTTTACTCTCTTGCCTTAAGCGTTTTCCTTAACAGATATAACATTTGAAATGAGAGATAACTTCATTTTAACAAATGGAAAATACATATAGAAGCCCAGTGTCACACAAAGTACCAAGTAATACATGAAATAGAATAATCTTACAATAACATAAAAAACTGTCCAGTAGAATCCCAGTTATCCAGCACCTTTAACACTTATTCCATTCTATAAAAATGACGTGGCTTAAAAATAAAGAAAATATAATATAAAACTATTTTATAAGAAATATGAAGAGCATGGGTGTGTATGTGTGGGAAGTGTACTATGCTGACTCACCAGCCCAGGCAGGGGTTGCATTTATTATTGCATGTTGTAACAATGCCATGATTTTTGAGTAAGTCACATCTTGTGTAAGAGAAAATATGTATGAAAATTTAGTCAAGAGACAGAGCTTGTTCAATTGTTCCCACTCAATCTGACCAATGACAGTGTGAGGGCCTCCAACTGACCAATGACAGTGTGAGGGCCTCCAACTGACCAATGACAGTGTGAGGCCCTCACACTGTCTGAACCATTAGGGAGAGCCTGTGAGACGTGACATCATGAACATGTGGCGTCCTATAGGCCACCTTTGTTTAAGACAGCCTGTGTTTAGAGATGGTGAAGTGTAGTCGTGTGGGGTCGGCAGGTTTCAACATGGTGAGGTATACAGTACTGTATATATAAGTAAGTACACTCAAGGTTTTATCCATCTCATGAAATGAGTGTGGACAGAGCAATTTTTTGTACATAACATATGTGCTATTATTGTATTTTATGTAAAGCTATGTATCAAATTTATTGTTTATCATAGTAATAAATATAGGCGTGGTATTCAAACATAAGATACTAGCTAATTTTGGATGAATTTTTATTTTTGTATTATGATTTCATTTTGGTGCTGGTTAGGTGAATTTACCGACTGCCTGGATGTCAGATAAATGGGAATCTACTGTACTGTGAAAGCTGAGTAAAACTTACACTTGTTTCCCTGAGATAATTTTCATCAAAAGGATCATCTGGGTCACCTGGGTTTGGTTTCTGTGTGATAGTAACCTTTGTACCTGTGATCTTCAGTAGGTCAGGGTAGAAGAGACTAAGAGCTGCAACAATGAGTTCATCCCCCATCTGGATGGTATATGTGGAGGGTATCTCCCCTGGAGTGTGTACACTGAAGGTCTTCTCTTGTGCTCCACATTCATTCTGAAATTTGTATTAAATATTTAGGAAAGGGATAAATTACTTTTAAATAAATCCTATAGTACAGGAATCTTACACAAAATTTATGAATTTTTAACACTCTGGACTATCAGCAGTCAACCACCCAACAATTGCTGGGCCACTGCTGACAGCGAGGGTCTGAGTGTGCTCGGTGACCTGTAATTTTTTGTTTATACCTTTGACCATAGAAAATGTTCTAATTGGAGTAGGACTACCATGTTTTCATGAAAAAATCTTGAAATATTTACGTATTAAATATTGTTTGCAATAAATATACAGGCAGACCCCAACTTACAAGAGGGTTACTGAATAGTGAAAGAATCATTTCAATACTGTACTCTAATGTGATATAGAAATAAAAGAAATTAAATATAAATCTATAAAAAAGAAAAAGAAAATAAAGAGCATGAATGTGAACAGTATTCTATGTGGGAGGTGAATGTATGTATGGATGTGCTACACTTTCCACAATGTGACGTCACAGCATACACAGCGTAGCAGCCACGTCTCAAATCAGTTGGCTGGTTGAACTTGTCCACTCTCGGCATCACCCACAGGATGGTTTAAGGATGGAAAGAGCTATTTTCTGTACATAAAATATCAGCTATTTTATTTTATGATGTGCTATGTATTATTTTCATTGTTTATTATAGTAATTTTTGCACATTTTTGGTGTATGTAAAATACAGATTAATGAAGGATTGAAAGTTATTCCCTTTTACTCATTGTTAAATCTACCTATGAAAAGGACGATTCCAAGAACGAAATGGACTTCATGAACATATCTACTTCATTGGCAAAGGTATACTGTACACATCCTCATCATCTCACATTTTAATTGAACTAATTGATTATGAGGTTAAATAAGCCAATCTGTGTTAGTGTAATATGCTGGATGTTGTTTTGAACAGCTGTGCATGTCTGCTGATATGGACATAAAAAAAAAATCACTACATCAAAAATTCCCACTTTGTTTACATGGTGAAACACTGCAATCTTAGATACCTTGAGCTATATGCTTTCATGATGTCTTCCAACAAACATCAAAGTGATAAAACCAAGTTTAACAGTGCTAAAAGGAAAAGAAAAGTACTAATTACTATGGGGGAATTGGATTTTGAGTTCCAAACAACTGCCTTACAAACTGGTCCTATGGTCCCTAACCCATTAAGTAATCAGGGTGTTCCTGTATACCATGGAGCGACAGAAGATCAAGCAGAGAGGAGATTTATGTGTAAAAGTAGAAAAGTGGTTGGACAAAGTAATCTTACTGATGAAACAAAGTAGTAAGCAAAAGGTAAATTAGATATGAAATATTCAAGGAATATTAAAGTCAAGATTCACTTCATCTTAAACAACATAAGTTAAGGAGGAATGGCTTGAATTAAACCCTGTTTGTTCTTTTCCAGTACAGTAGAGTATACGATACATGTACTGTACTTTTAAAATTTGGTCCAGGTATATCATTTCCATTCAATTTACTTTGGAATGGAAAAACAGGAAAAGACAGTGGGTCCCCGAGTTACGAACATCCAACTTATGAACACCTGCTGATACAAACGAGGTCCCATAAGGTCAATTATTTTAAGGATCTGACATAGGTACAACTGGTTTGTAGTATTAATGTATGATTACTAGTTTGTGTGACGTAGCAGCGAGGTGGAGCGGCAGGTGGGAAATAATGTGTCACCTAGCCACTCACCTTGAGGGAGAGTCAGTACACCTTACTCTCACCTCAGTAATGTGTGTGATCAAGTGCAAACTGTTGTTTTTTGCTTATTACCTCTTTTTTCTACCCTTATCATGGCTCCCAAATGCAAACGTGATGCAAGTGATAGTAGTGCATGCAAGAAAAGTAACACTTACAATGGAAGTGAAAGTTGATGTAATTAAACGTTTTGAATAAGGAGAAACACCCTCAGTCATTGGTAAAGTGTTGGTCATCTCAGAACAATTTTGAAACACAAACACAAAATTCTAGAACATGTAAAAGGATCTACACCAATGCACTCAACTGTCATAACAACACAAAGAAGTGGATTGATAATTGAAATGAAAAGTTGTTAGCAATATGGGTGGAAGATGAAAATCAATGGCGTTTGCCTTGATTCAGGAAAACGCAAGATTCAACAAGGCTCAATGACGTATTACCAAATGTCTACGATGCTACAAAGATATGATGAAAAGAAGAAAGTTTCAGTTTAACCATCTCTTGAATTTTTTTAAATCAAAAGGCAGCCAAAACCAGTCCCATCAACCTCTGCAACATTTCTAGAGCAACTCTAGAACCAGTTCTGTCTATCTCAGCAGATTCTCCAGAACTAATCCCATCAACATCTACACCATCTTCAGTTTCATCCCAATAAAACCTATGTCACTCCTACAAATGCCCATCTCTACATGCAAGCCAGCCCCATGTTTCTGTGTAAGTGTTAAACTTTAATTTTTACAATTTTTACTTTCCTTTACTGTATTTTGTCATTCAATTTCTTCTTATATCCTAAATTATGAGATTCTAGATGTATAAAAGAATTTAGGTTATGATATAGTGCCAAGGAGGTTTAATATAGGTGGAGACGGTACTGAGGCATGCTGAGTGAAGCCAGTGCTGGCTTATGCCATGTCATGAAAAGCAGTGTATGATCCTATTATTTCATAAATTGTGTATACTTTAGTCTTTAATGTAAGGTGTCTCATTAAAAATATAATTGCATTACAAAACTGAATCCATTTTATTTGCCAGTAACGAAAGGTGAAGAATTAAAGATAAGTTGCTTGTACTGGCGCTCGCACCCTACCCCCTACCAGTATGGCGGCCACCAACCAGTATGGCGGCCACCAACCAGCGCTGGCTTCACTCCCCACTGGGCCGCGCGGGACAATTGCCGCCTCCACCTATATCAAACCTCCTTGTATAATGCAAATAGGGTATATGTTCCGACTCTATGCTATGGGGTAAATTACATTTGCGGTAAGTATATTGAGTAATCCCCAAAAATGCTTGTGTAGGAATCTGGTTCAGGTTAATAAGCAATACAGTATTGTTAGCATCATGAACAGATTCAGATAACCATAAGCTTCTACATACAACACATGATAACACAAAGTGATTGTCCCAAATTTTTCTTACCAGATTAACATGACAGAACTCGTGTTTGAGTTTGTTGAGCAGCATAGCATCAAGTTTCTTCGAGAGATTCACTTGATGTGGGAAGCCGCACTTCTTTAACAGCCAGTAGAACACTTGAGTGACATCACACCCTCCATAGTCAAGCCGAAGCTGCAGATGCCAAAAGTGAGACAAGATAAGGTTGAGCAATCTACTGACAAATTCAGGCGAAGAATCTTCCTGGTTAAACAAATTTAAACTAATAAAGTTTTTAAAAAGACTAAAGTGTTGTGAATTATCAGTTTTAAAGGTTCTGTACCTAAAGAGGATTTTATATTTTTTTTTGTGGGTAAAACAGGTCAGGGGATGCTGGAAAGTTAATTTATGTCTCTGGATGTTTGAAGAGAAAAAAGAATCCTAGTTACTGTAACTGTCTCTTAGGTACTAAAACTCAATTGGAGGTTACAAGTAGAGACTTAAATTTTCTTTTTATCCTGGGTAAAGAACCTAATACAGTGCTGGTAATGTGCCTTGGAGTTTCAGGTAGATAAGTATGAAGTGTTAGCAGAAAGCTCCTTCACCTTAAAAATAATTTGAAAACAAAAGCAACAAAAAATTGATAATGGTCAGTTTGTTAGCAAAAGTGAAATTGAGTTTGACCCTGTGACTTCCAAAATATACTTTTATATCTCTGATTGGTAATGATAATGGTTACCAAGTTAAAAATTTATTTATCCAATCTTGAAGCACATCTCACATTTCCTAATAAAACAATTTAAAATCCCAGGTTTTCTCAAGATATTTTAAGGACATTATGACATTTTATAAATCCTTTAATCCTAAGCCAACAAACACTTTTCATCAAATCTACAGATTAAAAATTCAGAAAATTAAGACAGATCCTACAATCAGTGAGCGGAAACTTGACTACAGGTACCTTCCTGTCTGAGTACCGTACAGTAATAGTTAGTATTTCCACTCTTCATACACTTAAGGGGTTCTGAGTAAACACTCACCTTGTTTCCATACCATAGCCTAAAAATCAAATTTTCTGAATATTTTGCAACACTTACCAATTTTTCAATCTACAAGTAATACCCCATTCTGGACATTCAAACGGATTTCGGAACAACTGCATCAAGTGCTGGGCATATGAGTGGGTAGGCTCAATGCTCATGTACTACGATTGTCTACCACAGGGTACTGTTATGTGACTGCATGGGATGCCATTGATTGGCTGATGTATCTCGCAGCCTATCTCTTCAAATTCTTGCATCATGACACACTTAGTTCATTGTCTGCTGCCATTGTACTGAACAAACATGTTTGCTCATTCATTGCTGTTTTCTCATATGATCTGTGTTGTGCAATACAGTACTGGGCCCAGATTCACTGACACTGCTGAGATACAAAGTTAGTAAGTTCCGGGAGATCTGAAGTCCATACGAACTCTCGCAAGTGCGATTCACTAAAGGCTCATAACTGAGCTGTGGTGATCGTACGAACTCTATTAATAGTTCTTAAAATGCGGACAGGTGGCGGTGGTGTGTCTCCTCTTGGCCAATCACTGCGACTGATACATAACTCAGTAGGAGACGTAATTCATTCATGTCATAACAAAATTAGATCCCGCAGGGTGCACTTGTGATAATTTCGACATCAACCCTTATCTGAACAACGAAAACTGCATCAAAACAGTAAACAAGAAGAATAAGGTAAGTTATTCATAATTGAAGGATTTTTAGAAGTTAGGTAAGGTTTTTAAAGGTTTCTTTGGTGTTCTTTATAGTATTTTACCCCATACAGTCCCTCTTCTTCAAGCCCTGCCCACTTTGAGCAACCAATATTGTTGGTAATTGGAAGTAACAAAACATTATGTACTGCTGTACACTGCTAAAACATTGATCAAATATCCCTTTTGTTGTATCGTATTTTTAGATATATTGTACATTTTACACACTGCTAGATGGGTTAAAATACTTGTTTCTTAGCATTTTCTAATGTGATTATTGTACTGTAAGTGATATTTCTCAGTTAATCTCATGTGGTCACCAAACCTAACCTACTGTATTATACCATAAACACGATGAGAACAGGAACCTAGGTTGTTAGATAAAGTTAAAGTTTCCTACTCCTGATTAGATATAACATAAAGGTTACTCTCATATCTGTGGTTAAAACTTTGGCAGCCTTTCCTAACTAAACCTTGGCTTTCAATCATCTTAATTTACAATGACTGTCGTGACAGTCTTGATACACTTTGTAATTTTAATCATGTATTTATAGGTAACAACACTCTGTGATAACACATTTATAGTACTCAGATAATCAATTGCTTACTAGTGGTATACTTTACCAAGTAATATATTAAAATCTGTTTTTACTTTTTAGGAGGACCAAGCTATGTACCACCACTGACTGCAACAGAAGAAGCAATGGCTGGTTAAATTAGTGATGTTACCATTTAGGGATGTTTGTTTTAGAAGAAGAGTAATTTATTTTCCAATTGTAGCCTCGGAGGTGGAAGGTTAGGTTAGCCAGTTGTGAGCATGATGAAATAGATGCATTGGTACAACTGCATCAGGAAGAATTACCATATAAATTTACTGTTAATTTAGGTTAGGTTAGGTTTGACTAGATTCTGTGCAGAAGGTAGCAATAAATACCTTAAAAGACCTTGAGTAGATGGCCTTGGCAAGGTTTGTTTTATCTCCTTGTATTGCATGCAATTCAAATATGTAGCAACTATTGTCTATTTTGAGTTTTTATTTATTTATTTTTAATTGCAATTGATATTTTAGTCATGTACAGTAGAGTAATGAGAATTTTAGGGTAGTTACAGTATTTCCTTTATCAATTATTATCTGCTACTGTAAAATGCGAATTTGGGTGCCCCCTGTATTTTTATTTATATGATCCGATTATTATTTCAAGTAAAACAGAAAACTGAATAACTTTCCCCAAGTGAAAAAAACTATAACTGAAAGGGGACTGTAGGGTTATTTAGAAACATTAAAAATAATAATGTGGACCAGTTTTGTCCAGCTGACGGAGAGTCGCCAGTAATGCAGTTTTCGAAGTGCATGTATTTGTACCCATTACATTTACAAAAACCTTACTAAATAGCCACTCTTATGGAACAACAACTCTTAGGTAATATAATATCACCGTATAACATAAGATTTCATGTTTATTAAGGAAAAAACGCATTAAATTTGACTAAAATGGCTCAAATTACTTATGCTTCAACACAATAAAGTTCATTTTAGCATGTTATTGATATGATGGTTATGTCTATATGTCCATTGAGGGCATGCAGCTTATCCTTTTGCATGCATTGAGGGATGCCGAGTATACTTGACTTTCCTGAGTGAAAACTGTGAACTCTAAAATTAAATCTGTATTATTGAAGAAACTATTTAAAAATATATTTTGCCATTGATCTATTCCTATGTTAACTAGAATCTATCCTAAAACAAATTCTATACCTTTTTTCTCCTAAGACCATACCTATTCTAGTATGTTACTGTACTAACGCCTTACATGCTCTTGCCATTAATACAGACAGTCAACTTTTAAGACTAATATTAATTACCCTTGTAGCTGGATGAGAGATGGCATCCTCAACACACGACACTGATGTCTTCTGGTCACCAACATCCACAACACAGGCATAACCCAGGCCTGCTCCAAAGGTTGCAGCCACATGATCCTGGAGCAATGAAAATATTTTACAGAAATGGGACGTTCAGAATTGTATTTTTAATCAGTAAATACAATACTGTACTACATACACTATACAGTACTCTATATTTTCAATGAACAATCGAGATAAGATTAAGAATATTCACAATACTGTACTATGAACAATAGCTGACACAATGAACAGGAGTTATAATATCAAAGAACGGAATGCAGTCTTATGAACAGGAATCGTGATATAATATTATTTTGAAGTCCAGATACTCGTATAGCTAAAAGTGGTTCCAAAACTACGAATATCTGGAATTATAGCAATCATATTTATGTACAGTATTGTATAAGAAGAAATTATGATACAACAAACAGGAGTCAGTACAGTACTATGAACAGGAGACCCAATACTATGAACAGGAGACCCAATGCTAGGCCGGAGTCCCAATGCTATGAACAGGAGCCACAATATCATGAAGTATCCATAATTGGTTAATATCAGGACAAGATATATTTACATTACGTCATACAACTCAAATAAACACTCAATATGGGTGAGTACCTTAAGTGGCAATGTCGGAGTTTAGATTACGTACAAATATAAAGTTAGGATATCCTACAATGTAAATTGATTCTCAAGGTTTGCTAATGTGGAAGGAGATCAGGAATTAATGATGGAGCTAAGTTAGTGAGCCCCTCCCCGATCGCCGGTCTTTAATGAAGGTGGTGAGTATTAGGCGTTTATTGTAAGGCATTTTAAGATGCACGGAATAGCTAACGTGTTCCCTTTCCCGGACTGTCATTAACAAATACAACAGTGTACCGCGTCTTGGAAATAACTGTAGTACAACAGTCTTCAAAAAACAATAAAATTAGGAGAACTGTTATTTGGACACTACGGAAAGAAATAGTGAAGAAAATATTCAGAAAATTATGGAAAGAAAAAAAAAGGAAAAGAAGTCAATCAGTCAATAATAAGAATAAGAAAAACTATCGGGCCCGTTGTAACGGTAATCTCTCCCGAACTATGAAACCACACGGCAGAACAGGTTCGTTTAAGTCTTAATTTTTGCATTTACAGGACTGTAATCAACTTGTTCACCCTTATTTAAAGTATCTTAGGAGTAATGATATTAAAGTTATAATCAAATTCGAGTAATTATCAATATTTTTACACCAAGTCGCCAACAGCTAATGAAATCGGACAGCCCCCCCCCCCCCAACTTAAAAATGGGCGGGGCTAAAACTAGTTTCAACTAGGGGCAATCCTTTTCAATTCTTTCACACCATACACTTTGTTTTAGGTCCTATCCAATATACTACCGTGTATAAAACTATTTTTATTATTAAATCACAGTTTTTTATTGCCTTACATGCCCCCAACTCTTCAATATTAACCAAAATATTCTCCATAAGTGGCCATGATCCGCGTATTTTCAGTGGGAGAAACTCGCTGATTGGTTGTTAGATATCCGGGGCACTCTGCTCGCTGCAAACGCTTGTGCCTGATCGAGACGTTAGCTTTTCCCTCTGAAAGTGTCATGCGCAGAAGTCAGCATTTAAATCAGGTGCAATTACAATTCAGGTAACTATTAATATATATATATATATATATATATATATATATATATATATATATATATATATATATATATATATATATATATTCCTAACTAAATTTCTTACATTATTTCTATCGTTCTGCTATTCAACATACTAGATTATCAGTTAGGGTAAACAGGAGCCCCAATACTACGTACAGACAAGTATATATGCACCGTCGATATACAGTAAACTTCATACCAACGTTGTCTATATACACGCTAAACCAATTGTAAACATTCTAATAAGGATATCTTGCTAACAAATATTGTCATTTACTTAATAGTATTAATCAGCACAGAAAATCTAGAAAAGGATCTAAAAGATGTATTAGTTGTTATATTTCCTGTTCTTAACTATACTCCGTCTCACTACACTGTGCTTAACTATACTTATGGTAGTCTCAGTACACTGTCTCTGTGTAAAGTCTCACTGCAGTCATCGATACTGTTTTGACGTAATACATGAACTGCAGTGTAATTAAACCACTTTGATACATCATCACTTTACGGAAAAAGTTAAAGTTGGGAATCTTTGAAAATCTGGGTCAAGGTAGGTAGATAACAGGTAGCCTCACTCCCATAGAATCTACGCTAATGACAATAAAAATGAAATTTTTATTTACGTATTTTTTAAGGCTTATGATGGAATTAAAAGTTGTACAATAAATGCATGGAATGGAGACTTTTTGTTTTATTTTAATTGGAGCCACTGATTAAATATATAAAATAAATATAAATATCTTACTTGCGACCACTGGATTTCATCCAACGTCGCTGATTGGCTAGCGATGACATCACATATTAAGCTCCGCCCACTGAGTTACATCAAACAGTAGAAGCGGGATGTTTAAAATGGGAGGAAATGTATTGAATATTTTACTATTCAACCAGAGTTCCCGTTTTATTGTAAATTTCGTCAAACATTTTCTTATTGTATAATTTACATGGCAATATACACTGTATATTACATATTATTAAATACATATCTGATTAATAACATTTTATGCTTGTATATTTTGATTAGAGAAAGGATCTATACAGACAATAATACCACAATATTACAAGCGCATGAAGTGGCATGAGGGGCGTGGCTTAGCGGTCTCGAGAGTAGAGTTGCCAATTAGTGAATTCCTATGGGCCTGCGTGAGGCTACCTGTTATCTACCTACCTTGCGTGCAGAAGTCTCAATACTATGGAGTCCTAATACTCAGTGCCGGATTTAGACCTGTGGAGGCCCATGGGCAGCCTCTTTGTGGAGGCCCCCCTCATTATAACTACCCAAGAGAGTGGGGTGGCGAGTGAAGCGAGCCTAAACATCTGGGAGTTCCGGGGGGCGCTGTAAGCCCCCCAGGAAAATTTTAAAATTTGAACACTTCTATGGATAATTTTGAAGCCATATGCAGTTATAGTGAGGAAATTAGAACATTGAGAAATTTTTAATTAACTGTATATGTATTGATAGTGTACAAATTCCCAACACACACACACACAAAAGCGAGACATGACTGGAGTCATTCATGTGGTTTCAAGTCGACCAGCCCTGATATGTGGAGGCCCCTGGGCAACTGCCCACTTTGCCCACTCCTGAATCCGGCCCTGCTAATACTATAAACATGAGTCTTTTGTTTTGCAAAAGCACCAGTTTCTCTAAAGAATTCACTAGCGCTTGAAACACTACCAAGTAGTTTAACATACTGCAGGAGAAGCAACATGACCACCATAAATATTATACCGATGAAGAAAAACGACGATACACAACTGAGCACACGTTAAAAATAAACAAGACAAAATTGAACATTTACATAGTAGTTCACAGCAGTCAAATAAGCCGCCAAGGAATAATTGACGATGGCCGAATTTGTTAATATTATTCTAAAGTCTGCTGTAGAACCTAGATCTAGAACACGGTGCTATATAACTGACAGATGAAGCGCACACACACACACACACACACCTCTTTTATAATTATTATATAAGAAGGATGACCAGTGGGGTAGTTGGAATAATGGCAAGGCAACGCTGTGTAGTGTGTATTGAGGGCGGAGGTCTGGGAAATGGGGTGTTGTCACAACCTACTGTATGTGTTGTGTAATCTTGTTGTCATCACAATCCTTTCCCCATCCCACCTACTGGTGCAATCATCCTTTCACCGGCCTTCAAACTGCATATATTTTGCAAGCACGTGTGCTCCTCTCTCTCTCTCTCTCTCTCTCTCTCTCTCGTGTGTGAGTGAGCATTACGACGAGGCAAGCAGTGCACGATAATGGTTGTGATACAGGTACTGTGAAAGAAAACACACACACCTCTATATATATATATATATATATATATATATATATATATATATATATATATATATATATATATATATATATATATATATATATGTGTGTGTGTGTGTGTGTTACCGCAAGCAGTAATGAGTAGGATGACCCATAAACAAATATTGTGTTAGTCTGTAAGTCATGTCATGTTTATTGGACGTGCCTGCCCGTATATAGAGTATTGAGTTGGTGGAGATGGAGAGACACGGAGGAGGTTGGTATGTTGGGTGGAAGTAAGGGGAGCTTGTTGGTGTATAAATGCCTGACGCAACAAAGTCGGCCAGCCAGGGCTGGGCATGAGACGCCGGGCAGGGCACTGCCAATGTAGCTATCCCCCATCAGAGAGTCAACACCTAACCTGTTTCTCTTGAGACTTTCAACACGTAAGTTTAACCTGGACTTAAGTTTACACAAGTGGACTGTGTCCATTGCATCGGTTATCATTGTGACTACATGGAAATATGGCAAATTAAGTACTCATCATAAGTGTTAAGATTAGACTAATTACAAAGCTATGATTGTTATGTGAATATACTGTACTAAGAATGAATTGTAGTCAACAGGTTTGACAGAATTATAACTTTCGAATTCAACGTGAAGTTTGATCATCCTTTAAACGCTCAGAAGGCGTTTACAGTGTGTGTATTAATGGCACACCACTGGGAGTACCCACTCCCAGCGGCTCAGAGAGAGGAGGCCAAGTCTATTGTGCTATTCTCAATAAACTTTCACTTTCCATGAGTAAAGTAGGAAGCGGTAAATTGCAATAAGTCGATTGCGACTGTGTCGAATGGGCGTTCAGGCGTTGGGTATTCGAGAATTGGAGCAGGTTGCATCGTAGTTCCCTGTGTTGAGCGCAAGATAAACAATTAGCAATGTGTGGCTCGATGTCCCTTTTCATTGTACTCCAATAGTAAGATTTTCTTATTGTCACGCCCTGGATGGCCTGCTTGAGGTGTATTGTGGTACAGAGTGAGTACCGTGTCTTCTAGGTTGTCAGGTACGACGATTTGTGTGACAGTATTCTGCATTGTTTTTGTTGTACGGTGCAGTATGTCTTGTCGCAGTTCAAACTGTGTGAACGGAAGAGG